GAAGGTGAGGGGAAGCTTAACACATTAAGCATCTGGTTAAACAGCAGAAGGGTTACGTCCCTGGCAATGGCAAAGAGACTTCAGAGGTTGTAACCTCCTTTTGGGTTCTATCCTCTTAGGTATGCAACAGTCAGGTCTAATAGCTTCAACAAATATCAACCATCCATTCTGTCACAGCAGTATGGTCCCATACTTCATATGTTTGGAAATGTAAGTGCTTCCTTTTCCAAGAAGAGAGGGAAAAGTAGCCAGTAAAAAACATCATGAAGTATCTTCATACTCAAGCACACGTTCTTTCAAAGAAAGAGATTACTTATCAGTTACTTGACTTCGAGATGCGTTTCCTTCTGAACAGTTATACACTGTGTATGGACGTACACACTCTCGTCATCCAAGGTCAGATAACTTCTCCCTCCAGAGGTTACGTTCACATTCAACCCCTTGTACCTCAAACATCGCCGATATGAAGTGCGCAGTGCACAGCTCCACGTGATTTCTGTCCCTGCTGTAGAACCTAAACACAACAAGTTCTCCAGAAGTAAAGCAAAAAGTACTTCTGGAAAAGGAAAAGACAGGGAAAACCCATCCCGGATTCATCTAGTAAAAGAGCAAAGGACTCATCACACTCAGGCACTGAGTAGCCTCTACAAAGAAAAGCCAATGCCAAAAAACAAGCACAGAGTTTTAGGCAGACAAGGTTAGGCTGATTTCAGCCATTTGGTGACAGCATACCCTTGAGGAAACACAAAACGGTGACAAGGCTGCAGGTTCATAATGATCTAACTTCAACTTTGCTAAATGTCTTGGACTTGTATTTGGCAGGCTGATTTTAAAGCCATATTTACAACAGCCTGGCAAACTTCTACAGGGCTCACTCTGTAAAGCGCAAGATGTAACGTTTGATGCCAAGAGACCACAAGGAGAATACCTCTCAAGTGCTGAACCTAAGAAGTCCCAGTTTGCAATGGCAATGCTCTCCAGACTCTGGAAAACTTTCTCTACTCACTCTGACAGAAGTTCTCACATTGTAACTCCTGACCCATGTCTAGTTGAAAGCCAGTACTGAGAGGTCAACAGTTGGTATCTCAGACCAAGACAGCAGACAGCTGTACTGATAGACAGAACATGACAAAGCTTACGAAAGTGATTCAAAGAAGAACCCATGAAGGATGTAGATTTAAAGGAAAAAAAAAACAACAACTCACAATTCAAAGTATTTTGTCAAATCTGAAAGTGGTCTAAGTACACTCATCTTACATTTTTATAGTTAAATTTAGCGGATCTGAGCACAAGGCAACACAATGCAGTATGGCCTCTAGAAATCTTGCAAAAGGAATATCCAATTTCGCTTTGAATACCAATGCAGACATAACTCTTCCAAGATACAAGTTTGACTATCATCAACATTACCAGAATATTTCAATCCAAATTACTCCTTTTAAGAACAGCCCTATATCTATTAATATAAGATCTGTGCATGCAAGACAGAACTCGATTCAAATGAAGCTGAGAAATTTTCCACCTTGCACCTTTGCTCTTCGAAGAAAAGGCATCAAGGTTCTGTACAGGTGTACACTTCCAACAGCTTCTAAAGACAACCACCAAAATTTTTTACAAATTAATATTTTCTTACCTAATTCTTTTGATGGCTGGATCACCAAAACAATATCATGTCAATTCATTAACTGGCTGAAAGTGAGGAATGCAAGAAATTCAACCGTAAATGTGATCTTATTCTACATTAATTAATTTTATTTTAAAAATAACCCTTTAAAGACAGAAATTGTCAACTTTGCCTCAATGGATGAAAGACATCTAATTTTTACTGGTTTCTAATTTATGAATTTTTGCTTTTGCAGAAAAAGTAATTTTACTTTCATCACAAAAAAAAACTGCAGGAGTATGTAGCAGTATCTATTACACAAGCTAGCAAAAAAGCTATCTTTTACCTATTAATAATGTATAATAGGTCCTCCTTAGCATTGGAGGTTATCTCATCACATCATAGTGCTCCAGCCTAGACATTCTTAATGTCTCCCCTCCTTCCCAACAGGGAGGGAGACATTAAGAATGCTTCAGCACAAAACAACGTCTGCCCTCTAAAGATTATCATCTTATTGAATAGCTTGTCTGCCTTTTTAAAACTAAATGGCAGGTATTTCTTTAAAATGTCTGAACTCCAGAGGAGGAAATAAAACCACAAAAAAAAACCCAAAACCCTACCTCCTACACAGTTGAATCCCTTAGCATTTCGCTAGTCGTCCCCTGGCCAAAGTCATAATTAAACAAAAAAATGAGAAAATTAAAAACCATGAAATTCCATTTGAACATAAACTCCACCTTTTTTACTGTGAGGGCAGCCAAATACTGGCACAGGTGACCAGAGAGGTTGTGGAGACTCCATCCTTGCAGATATTCACAACCCAACTGGACACAGTTCTGGGCAGCCTGCTCTGGCTGATCCTGCTCCCACAGGGGGTTTTGGACTCGGCGATCTCAAGAGTTTAGACTAGATGATCTCAAGAGGTCCCTGCCAACCTCAATCATTCTGCCATTCTTTGATAATACACAGACAACTACAAACTGAGTATTAAAAGACAGCATATTAAAATACTTTACTTCTGAACAAAACCAAGACTGTGAACAAATATTTGGCTGAAAAAAATCCAAATAAAAAATCCACACAGATGTCTGAAAAGGAGCGCACAGTTTCAGTGACCAGGCACATTACCTCTTGGTGAGAACCAAGTCATCCTTCTTTTCTCTTATTTCTGCACATTTGCAAGAAAATTAGTAGGAGAGATGATTGGAAGTTGGCGCAAGGTACATTTCAGTCACTTTAAGTTGTCTTCTCCTAACTGCACTCCTCCAGAGGCCAAAGAGGGAGAAGGAACTACCCGTGTCCTTCTGTAACAGTCAAAATACACAGATGCTGGACCAGCAGCACAGCCGTGAATTCCTCAGAAATACTTCGAGTTTCCCACCCCACACCAGCAAAAGCAGACGGGAGATGTCCCACACGAGGTCCCTGCCTCGCACAGGGGTTAGCCACTCGACATCCGCCTCCGCCCTTCGCCATGATGGAGCACCTCACCTTCAGAGCCTGCCAGGGAGGAAGATAAGCGAAGAAAGTCCTCCTCATCTTACACCAGCGAGATGTCACGATGAGGCCTTTCGGCAATTAGATTTCTCTCAGGGCCCGTTTGACCAGAAGAAACGCTGTGGCAGTCCAGCCCCGAGGCACCAGGGGTGCGCCAGGCAGGGAGGGCAGCAGTGGCCGCCAGGGAGCTGCCAGCCAGGCCCGCGGCACCGCTGGGCAGCCAGGGGCCGGGCCGGGCCTGTCCGCTGGAGGCCTCTCCGCTTCACTGTTCTTCACACAGTGGCACAACTGCGTCAACCCTGCTTTTCTGGATGGCCCAAGAGAGGGACATGGACTCCAGCTTTGAGCACAGAGCAGGAGGCAGGTGTGGGGTGGCTCTCTGGGCCATCTGACCAAAAAGAGGGACTCGCAGAAGTAAACTCCGGACTATTATTCTGAGCCTCCAAACTGAAGGGCGTGTGTTTCATCTCAGTGCTAATTGACTGAGATCCATCAGAACTTCAGAGATGTTAGTTTTAACTGAAAGACCTGAGGCTCATGCCCAGTATGGCTGAACCTTCACGCACAGCACTCAAGCATTAAATCCAGATAAACATAAAAAGTGTTTTCCCTGGAGACCCAGCAGAAGCCGTCCTACAGCATCAGTGACAGCTTTGTCTCTAGAGCAACACTAAAAACCCCAAGTGCAGAAATAAGTTTTTTCTTCAGAAGCTATTGCATGAGCCAATAGATTTCACATGTAAATCATCTCATGAAGTTAAACCACAAAATTTGAACTGAACTATCAATGAAAGAAGAAACAAGGGGATGACATCAACAGAGAAAACCAAATAAAATTCTTGGCTTCATGCTCCGTTCTTAAAGAAAAAAAAAACAAACAGTATTCCCAACGCTGCAGGTATCAAAACTGTAACAAATGCCGTAGGTATCAAAACCAACAAATAAGAGCTCATAAATATTTTGCAGTCTGCTTTGTGTCTGAGGACCCAACAAAAAGCAGTTGCATTCACTCTTGAAAAGATACCTATAATGTATATCAAGTATCTAACACACCAAATACATGGCATCAAACCTTACCAAGTAACTTCTAACTTCTGATGAAGAAATTCTGTAAGATGCTTTTTAAAAATCAGTTCCTTTATTTCACAAGGGGTTTTTGAAGATCCTTCTAAGGGGTCTATACAGCTTCCTGAAGCTATAATTCTTAGTGCTGGCAAGGATATTATTTCTCTCGAGCACTGAATGTTTCAGTGTGCCTTTTTAATGTTTGAGAATTCTTATTGTGTCATCTTTTATCCATTGACTACCAAAGAAGAATTCAGGTATGACTACCATACAGAACATGTAAAGCATATTTTTAGAACATGTAAAGATATATAATACATCTTCAGACACGGTCATTGAATGCACAGGGATGAAACAAAACAAACATGCATTAAAAATGTACTTGCAAAAGACTAAGTATGTTCTGTACAAAAACTGGAACTAGGAAAGAACCATGTGTTTTTTTGTTTTGTTTTTTTTTTATATATAATACATCTTCAAGATACGCAAATGTTTTAGCTATGTTTGATCTCATCTCAACCCTTTAAGACCCTATTCCCATCTTCCTAACAAACACAATCATCTTGGGAAAGGGAAAAAAAGTGCATATTAATCACCCTGAAAAGCCCAGTCTCCTGAAAGTGTTACCTTGTCACCTTTTAACAGACCTGCTGTTATACTAGTCCTTTGTTAAATATCACAGACGTGGTTTTCAGTATACCTTTGCTATAATTTTCCTATTTAATAGCAAGACTTACAGAACATGAGAACTCTGTACAAACTGATAATTTAAAAATCATAGCAGTTCTGAATATCACTTTATTGTTTCTTCTCATCTTTTCACATTTCAACTTACCTTAGATCGTGGGGAAATCTGACTTGGGCCTGGGTGATTCTGAAGGTGCCCAGCATCTTCCTCTGGCATGGAATCCACTGCGTTGTCATCCTGTAGTGATTGAACCATTTCCATGGTCATCCGTCTAAAAGTAAGTACATACACATCTAAATAATGCAGTACAGGGGAGGCATATCAGGTACCTCGGGAGAAAACAGCAACCCCAGACTATTTCGTATTTGGAGCAGACAACTAATAACTAGATTATAATTAGATTTCTCTCAAAACTATCAGATTAACTGAAGTCCTTTCTTCCCATTCCCCCATATTAAAATATTCATTCCTATAGCCAGGAGCTCTAAAACAAGTACTCTGGAAAGCTGCAAGGAGGGGCAGTTCTGGAAACGGTTCTCAGGGGAAGGACAAGCACCAAGTCCCTGGCTCCCGTGCAGTGCTGACAGCAGGGCTGGGAGTGCAGCACTCTGGAGCATCCCACCAGCACTGCCTGCAGCATCCCACCAGCACTGCCTGCAGCAAGTCCCTCCTGCCTCCTGTCTCCCACCAGACAAGGCTCCAGCTGACCAGCAGCCACGTGCTGCGACGGCCCTCTAGAACCTCCTGAGATACCGGCCCCTCGGCTGAGATCTACGCTTGAGTTGTCTGCAAACTACTCGCGGCTCAAGATCCACAATGATTCTTCTCGTTATGCAGGTTTAAAAGTAGGGTAAGCTTCACAGAAGAATAAGCGACTCTCTGACCGTTAATTTGAACTATGAGTTTAAACTCCATAGAGGAAGCTTCCAAATATATCTGCTATATAAAAATGCAGTTACCTGGCAGTTGCTTTTCCATATTTCTTGGCATACTTAGTCATAACGGAAGGTGTATGTTTTAAAACAAGAGCTTGGTTCTCTTCGGCTCCCTTTCTCTCCTACCAAACCCTGCACTGCACAGAACAGAGACAGGGAAGGGTCAGGCACAGGACAGGATCAGGCAGAGGCAGGCAGGATGCCCCACAGGCACGCTCCCACCTACACCTTACTTACACAAGGAACTGAGGCCGCAAAAGGAAGCCATGATGTAGTTGTGGGATTTAACAGGCAGCAAATGTCGCTTCCTCAGGTTCAGTTACTGTAACTATGGGATGGCAAGCCCATCTGAACTCAAAGCTCAACTAGTTCAACTGACTGATAGTTACTGCAGTTTTTTCTCAGGTCTTACACTGAGACCGGGAAGGAAGTCTGCTATGCGCTTGACTCCCAGGCTCCTCAGTTCAGTCCCACACTTTAAAAATTAACTACATTAAATCAAATCAAATGTAAATGCAACTCCTTTTGCAGCATTATTTTACAGAATATTCCACAATCCTCGAGAAGAACAAATTTTATTTTATTTTTAAATCACCCTTTTTGCCTAAAATAAAGGCATAAAAATAGGAAAAGGAATCCAGTCAGACGATGTGGAGAAACACATGTCTAGCTTGTATTCCTCTAATAGTATTCTACTGACCAGACTTAACAGACTGCCTTGCCAGCATGACCTCAGCTGCTATAGTATTACAGCCTGTGGTAGCCAAGGTGTACACAGATCAAGATTTTACAAGTTAACATTAGTCTTTCTGCCAACAGAATTTATATACTCTGTGCCAGTATCAACTCAGAATACATTCATAAGGAGACATTTTACACCTGAAATCTTACTACATTTCTGTCATGTTAGTTACTACTAATTACATTTTTCTCTAGTTAGAATCTAATTAAAGATCTACTGAAATTTACCAAAGCTGAGCAACCCTGGGGAGAATGTTTTCACCAAGCTTTCCACCATAATTTTCCATAATAAGATGTTTACCTTATTAAATCAGTCTCATTTTAGACATGCATTCAATGTAATAATAATAATAAAAAAGTAGGGAAAAAAAATATTTCTCCTTAGTAAACTAGGATCATCCATAGAGTCTCAAACATGAAAGCTTTATCTGATTCATGTAAGAACGACTCCATGAGCTTCAGAACAGCTCACACACCAAGAAAGATTAAATAATGCATAGGTACTGGCAACACATTCATTGCAATCTCTTCCTAAAGATGGGAATATAGTCAGAGTTAATCCACTTTACACAGGCCCTGAAGTATTTTCTTATCCAAAGCCATCTGTCACAGACAACCTACTGCTGGAAATAACCCCAAGTATTTTTATCCCCACCAAATGCATTTCATAGACATTTTACCTGGAATTTTATCACGTTGTGAAAAATAGTATTTGTTTGCTAAATTTTAGCTTAATTCCTCACTGATTGCAGAGCACTATTTAAAAAAAGAAAAAGCATTTATCTTTACTACTACGAGTAACAGGATTTGTCTCCCAAAGGCTTTTCATCAGCTATGCTCCAGAACTGAGTTACCAAATAGCTATGAGGAGGGCATCAATCAGTGCAGCAGAAAAGCTAATAAAAAGTTATTCCTAGTATTTTACAAAATACATTACAGAGAAAAGACTGTATTTTTAGATTATCTACATTAAATTAGAAAAACAACAAGTATTTACATGCCAGTGAAATGACAAATATAATTCTTATGACATACATGAAAAACTCAAGATAGATTTTCTATCTATAAGTCTCTTAACACAAATGATTACCTATCTTCAATCTTTAGCAAAGTGTAGTAAAATCTGAAAATTCGTATACTGCTATTAATTAGCTTTTTTTGACTGCCATAAAATTCAACTGTTAACCTAGAACACAGCTAAATACTCTTTCTAGGTAAGTTAAAATCCACTTCTTTTTGACAACCCGGGAATTCTAGTATGTTTGTAAACAGAGACTTGACTAAAATCCAAACATAAAGACCTAACTATAGTCTATAAAACCAAAACAAAAATAACAAAGGATATAAGTAATTTTAAAAGCTATACTAGTTATCTTGGCTTAAAACTTCAACGAGAAAGGTGACTGAAGACAAAATGTAGCATGTTAGTATCATAATTCAGACATGTTACAAGACTTTGAATCTTCGGTGGACATAACCATAGGGGATTGCTAAACTTGCAGGCGAAGGCCAGCTGCAGTTATTTGAGCCCAAGAGCCTTCACACAGGATCACGTCACTTTATGTGGGCCTGTGCACAGGTCAAGATCATGCACACTAAGAAACTCCTGAATTTCACAGCTCAGTTATCACTGTCTTTAGTGCACTCTTATAAACTCTCAAATTTCTATATCCTGAGTTGTACAGGTTTTGTATTTCCTGTATTATCTCATATATTGTTTTACTATGAATACATTGAAGTGTTTTTAATAAATATAAAGAAAAATACAGAGCGGGATCATCACTGATGTTTTAGGAAAAAAAAAGTTATATGGACTGTGGTAAGAAATCGTTATTAATCCAATCCAGAAACTGCAACATAAACAGTTTCCACATGTATCACGTTCAATCAGTCTACATGGCAAGCAAATTCTAATCTATTTATTGCCTTTAAGTTCCAAAGTAAGAAAATAAAAATCTTTTGCCAAGCACTTACAATCCTTTATAAAAGTGTATCAGTAGTAGTACACCTTACACTTTAAAGTTTCTACTACCTTCCTCCTATTTTAAAGAGCCAAGCAAACAGTTTTAAAGCATATGGTCTTAGGTCCTGTTTAAAATTATATAGCCTTTTTCTTCATTGTATGATTAATTATATATAAGCTTTAGTTTTAAACTCAGTATTAATACATTCATTTCTTACATTTTTCACCCTGGTTGCTTACCATCACTGAACAGTAATTTTAAATAGTAGTCTGGATTTTTAAATTAATAAACAAGTTATATGTCTGCCCTCCCGCAAAAAGGGGGCAAAAAATGTCTTTCCATAACATGAGCAGAGATACCTGCTTCTTCCTACAAAATAGCAAAGAAATCTTCAAGATCTGGCAGGAAGTTTAACTGTTAACTAGCTAGCGACACTTCAATATATATTAGCATGTGTTTACTATAGTCACTGAGACTAAAGTACAGTAGGTCAGTGGCAGGTAAACACTGATTAAAAAGATTCATATAGTGCCCATCAAAAGCTTCTTCAGCTGATAGCAGCAGCTTCCCTCATGGAACAATACTGACAGACAGCATCAGCTAAAGGAAAATGTTACTCAGGTGACTTAGAAAATTGGAATTCATTTATAGCTAAAGGGGTGGACCTTTTATACTTTTGTCCACAGATAAAAGGTTAGGGATAGCATTCCTATCAAGACGTGTTCTTGTGTAATAAAGCGCACAAAACCCCTTCACTCCCCCCCCAGTACTGTTTGTTACACGACTACATCACTGAATATTAATATTTAACAACTGTTGGTGAAATTAAACTGCATACGAAAACTGGTACAGCACTTTGCATAACTGGAAATGTGTGAATGTCTAATTAAACACCCAGAGACATTTTAAAGACAACTTCTTTATTTCAACAATACTTAATACATCAGTGACCGTTTACAAAGGCAGCTTATTACAAAAGAAATTCTAAGAGTCTAAGAAACATGTTTCAGCCCTTTCTCTCAATCTCTTCAAAAGCTTTTATTCACCAGGAAGTGACTAGAAAGCAAAGATGTGAATTTACAAGCACCTATTTTGCATTTATTAACGACCCCACGGTGAGCGTGGAAAGTCTAAGAACGCACTAGTTTCAGAAGAGCATTGTGTTTTCAAGAATGAAGTCTATAATCTGTTTTACTACACCGCTTTGTGAAGCACACTAACCGGCAAGGTGGTCACAGCATTCAGCCGGGTAAAACGAGAGACAGTGCAACAGACCGGATTCTGAAAGCGTAGCCTTTCTGTTTAGTTTTCAGTAATCAGCAGAATGCTAAGTCTCTTGGGTCTCCTAAACTCTAACGTGTTTTCTCATTTTCTTCCCCGAATATCTTAGCAAAACTCATTAAAAAAAAATAATTAAAACCCTTAACCTGCTGTTACTGTAAGCACAAGCATGCTACCCACCACTCTGCATCTGCCACCTCAATAACCCGGACAAGACGGTGCTGAGTCAGCTGTGAAGAGAACACACGGTCCTCGTTTTTAAAAGAGTCCAACCAGTCCTTGCTCAGGTAAGAGGATTATTTAAGCGCCAGCAGCTGCGGAACCGTTTAACTGCTACAGGACACGCTGCT